GACCGAGGCTGGTCTTAATCTCGCCAAGAAGACGAAGAGGGCGCCGTCTCCTTCCCTGGCCGATGAGGTCGGCGTCCTGACCGTCCCAAATGTGGACGATGGTGGTTCTGGCACTGCTGCCGTCATTGTGGATCTTTTCGCTGCTCCTTCCAGCGGCGTTGCTCAACCGCTCCCTCTCGTCCAGGAGACTCGGACGAAACGGGCTGGCAAGGAGATTGCCACTGCCACTTACCAGAAAGTGGTAGAGCACCTCGTTGGCGGGGGTGTCTTCGATGATGGCGTTGACGGCCATGATGTGCTCACCCAGGCCATGCCGGCCAAGGATCGGGCCTATCTCAAGAAACTCGGGGATGTCAAGGTCTATGAAGGCGGGATGGACCTCATCGTCCAAGTAAGTTCCTTTCCCTTTTATTTGTTGTTTTTCCCTGTCATCTGTGTGAAGTCGTTGACTGAGTTTTGGTTTGCCTTTGTTTTGCAGGGTGCCTTTATGCTCATGGAGAGCAACAAAAGGCAGCAACGGGAGATTGCTCGCCTGAAGGAGCTTGAGCAAAAGGCTGCCTCGGCCGATGAGGCGGTGGCCTGCTTGGATCGGCTTCGAGAGGATGCCAAAGCTCTGCAGAAGAGAGCCGATGAGGCTGCTGCAGCTAAGGACGATGCCCTGGCTAAGCTTGCAGAGAGCCAGAGGGCACTTGAGGTTGAGCGGCGCAGGGCTGATGAGGCCGTGAAGGCTAAGATCGAAGCAGAGGTTGCTGCTGTGAAGGCCGCTGATGAGGCCGTCCAGAAGTTCCTGACTGAGGGCTGGAAGGCCGACGAGCGGCTCCCCTGGTGCTATGAAGTTGTGGCCCCCAAGCTCGAGGATTGGGGAATGAACTCCCCCGCCGGCCAGGAGTACTTTGGAAGGGAGATGTCCGTGTACTACAACATGGGCCAACAACGGATGCAAAGGCTCCTATGCCGGCGGCTGGCGCGTGCTCTTAAGGCGATGAACTACACCTCTGGGTGGGCGAGGCGGAACCTGAGGCTTCCCAGGCTGATGAAGGATCCCGAGGAGCAGGCCAAGCTTCCCCCTTCGGAAAGGGAGGCCCCGATCGATAGTTCCGGCCTCGGCGAGCCGGACTATGATGAGTTTGATTTTCTGGACGATGCTACGAGCTCTGCAGCCGCTGTCGGTCAGGACAATGAGGCCGAGGAGGAAACCGAGGATGCCGATGAGCAGACCCATGCTGAGCATGCTGCAGATGAAGGCGCCCGGGAGGCGTGATCGGCCATCCCCTTATCTTTTTTTGTAATTAGTAGCATCCCCATTTTTGCCCAACTTGATGTAATGTCCGTAACGCCCCTGATGGATAGTCTACCCGGGGGTATATATCCGAAGGGTTATTACGGGGAATAACTTAGAGAGAAGTCAGAGCAAGTAAGTAAAAGTAGAGAGAGAGTGTATTCAATATGAATGCCGTTTTCAGCGTGGTTACAAGTGGGGAAATGGGGTGCTATTTATAGTAGCAATAAATGCCGGGCAGGGACACGTGTCAAGCGCTCATTGGCCGAGGGGTCACCTCAATTGGTTGGCGCTGGCAGTCGCATGTGGCCGCATTTAATGCGGCTGTTGGACGGGACGTCTGTGCGGGGTACGGTGATCTGTACGCATGTGAGGCAGATATCTTGTCGAGTGAGATGCCTTCGGCTATAGAGCAGTAGCCGAGGGCTCTTCCACCCGATGGCACCCTGGTGCCGAGGGCTCACAGTGCCGAGGGCTACTGTTTTCGCCGTTTTCTCCCAGTTTCTTAATTTGCTTGAGAAACCCGTTCTGTGAGAATTTAGAGCCTTCGGCCAGGGGGCCGAAGGCACCCCTGGCGCGTAGTGCGGGCTGCTTGGTACTCCGGGCGCTGTGATTTGGGCCTGCTGGGCCTTCTGGGCCTGTTGGGCCTTCGCTGGAGTAGTAGGAGTCTGTGGGCCTGGGGTTCCCGGGCCATGTACTCCATCAGGAGTCCCTCACTCCTTTTGCCGAAAGGTACTTGAGGGAAAAGGAGTAATTTGTGCTTGCCCTTTGATGTTGTCCCGTCATGATCTCTGAAGTTGGTGAGGAGTTGTTGCTTTTATGTCCCTGCCGAAGGCAGTCCCTCAGTTACCCACATGTCGGGACTTGAGGGCTTGCCTTGTCGTTTGTTGGAATTTCACAGATTTTGTAATTTAATGATTTTCCCGAGGGGGTCCTCCAGTCCCCCACTCCTTGAGGCACTTGTAAAGTGGTGAAAAGGAGTAAAGTAGTCACGTTGTTGTTGTGGGCCGAAGGCTGGCGCTTTTCGTTTCATTTTGGGGGGATGCCTCGTTAAAAACCTCATTAGGAAAAACCCTTTGGGAAAAAATCCTAATGAGGGAAAAAGAGTGCACCGAATTCCCCCAATGATGAATCGAAAATGTCAAACCTTGGTAAAAAATGGAGAATGACGGGAATGCCGAAGGCTCTCTCTTCTGAGGGCTCCTGTGTTGATTAGCCGAATGCTTGCTGTTGATGTCCTGGTGGCGCCGAAGGGGAGCCCCTCAATTCGGGGATCGAGGGCCTGCTGGATGAGGGCGGCAATGGAGTTGTTACTGGGGGGTCCACTGTTTGTTGATTAGTTGGTGATGAAGATACCCGAGGGCTCCCATTACCTGTGTGCCATGGGTCATCCGTCAATGAGGCAACTCCCCGGGGGCTACCCGGTTTTGCAGTGCTGAGGGGGAATCCCCGAGGGGTGCCCTGATATGAAGCCCTGGGTTTCTGAAGGAGTGATCCTGAAGGCGTCTGTTATGTGCTGTTTGGGGCACAACCCGGGGGCACTTCTGAGTGAGTGTACCCGGAGGCTACCCTTGATGAAGTGGAGTGAAGTAGAAAACCCGGGGGCTTCCGGAATATAGCCGTTGGAAATATAGCCATTGGAATATGTAACGACAGGATATAGCCGTTGGGGGGTGGCACACGTGGCGTGTGATGGCTGGCTGTTCGTGGGCGGCGTCACCGGTTGGGTGAAACGACGGTATGTAATGATGACGGTCCGTCCGGAGGCCCGGTTTCCGGGCCCAAGCTCGGATTCCAGCGCCTATAAATACCCCAAGGCCAGGGCCATTCCTTCTTGTGCGATCATTTGTTTTAGTGAAGCTCTGCCGAAAATTCTAGAGAGAGAAACTCCAGCCTTCGGTCAAAACTCTGCTTTCAAGGTCAGTGCCCGTTTTCCTCTCCAAACTTTTAGTAAGTTCCGCCCTCTGGCCTTAGATTAGGGTTAGTCCTGTAGAAAGCCTTCGAAACCTTAGACACACTTCGTGATAAAAATGTCGTCCGAGAGCGATTCCCAGGACATCTCGAGGACGCCCTCGATGGAGGACGAAGGCATCTCCGACGTGGAGTCCAGCAGTGGTCAGCCCTCGGATGGTGGTGATGCAGCCCTCGCCACTGAGGTGCAGAAGGATCTGATGGCCGAGGCCGAGGCGGAGGAATTCGAGCGAACTGCCGAGGATGAAGAGTTGGCCCTCGCCGTCCAAGTTGCTGAAGAGGAGGAGGAAAAGGAGAGGGCGAAGGTCACTGTGGCAGTCCTTCCCCCTCGGGGTGCTGGTGAGGCCAGTACTTCCCAGCCGCTGAATGCAGTTCCCATCCGGGTGGCCCCCGGGAAGAAGAAGGCCAAGGCAGTTGCCCCCAAGAAGAAGGTTATTGCTGCTGATCAGGGGAAACCCGTAGATATGCCGGAGGGGTATTCCTGGCTCAACACGGCTGCCTTGGAGATAAAGTCGAAGGCGGACAGGGCGGACCTCTACGTGACGCAGCTACATGTAGGGCCCTCGGCCGTGGTGGTCGAGCCAGGAGTTGACGACGTGCTCTCTCGGGCGCCTGAGGGGTGCATTGCAGTACACGTACTGTCGGTCTCCATGGGCCTTCGGTTCCCTCTGCACCCCTTCCTCCGGGAGTACCTGAGGTTTGTTGGCTTGGTACCCTGCCAGCTGACACCTAATAGCCACTCCTACGTGGCGGGTTTTTTAAACCTCTGTAGGGACCGAGGGGTGACCCCCAGCCTGGACTTGTTCTTCCAGAGCTTCAACCTCTGTCGAGGGGGTCACGCGAATGCCGAGGGCTTCGCCAACCTGCAGCAGGTGGCCAGGTGGAAGCTGTTTACGGAGGCGCCTTCGTCCAATAAGGGCTGGAAGGAGCGCTGGTGCTATGTCAGGGTTGCTGAGAACCCATGTCCGGCGGAACTTCGGGATCGCTTCCGTCGGCATCCGAAGGTTGGAAGCGCCGCCCTCGAAAAAGATGGTCTGGTGATAGCCAAAATCCCGGAGGGTCGCACAAAGCAGGTCTCCATCAAAGACTATACTGCCGACAAGGGATTCTACGCCCTCGGCTTTCGGAGATACCGATTTATTGGGGAAGCGGACGAGAAGTACCCCATTTTTGCTGAGGCCTTCGGGGGAACAGGAGGTAGTCTACGAGGTCCCTCGGTTTTCATATCTTAGCACATAGCTTATTTTGTTCGTGTTTTTTTTTAATTCTTTGTGCCTTCGGTCAGTAACCCCTCGATTTTGACCCCATACCTTTTTTTTGCAGGTGTCCCAGTGAAAATGATGAACGTCAGAGGCCTTGCAGACCTGAAGAAGAAAAAACCCTCCAAGGGCCCGAGGGGGACGGACGCCGGTGTCCCAAAACCCGCCAGTGACTTCTTCAAAAAACCGGAGGGGCCGTCGGTGGGCCCAAGTGCTGATGCTGCCGCTGCCGCCAAAAGGAAGGGCTCGGGCAGAGATCCCGAGGGCAAGAAGCCCAAGACCGGGGATGCCGGGAAGAAAGTCCCCCCGGTGATCATTGTTGATGAAGGCCCTGCCTCCGGGGCGAATGAGGACATGCAGGTGGCGAAAGTGCCGCCGGGAGTTCAGGGGCCATCTTCTGAGGTCCTCATGGTTTCCCTCCCGGCTGGTACGGCCGTGATTAACGGTACGGCCGACCCGAGGGCGCTTCTGAGAGGCATCACCCTCAAGATTGACAGAGTAGCCCTCGGGGCTGATGAAGACGAAGCCCTCGAGGACAGGATCCTCCGGTCTTCCCTCACAGTAAGTCTTTTATGTTTATTTCTTTCTTTTCTACTTCGAGCTAAGAAACCATGTTTGGCCTCGCTAACCCCTTTGTTTTTGTAGACCTGCATTGCCCTCGGGGAGCAAGCCCGGCGGCTAGATGAGTGGCGCCTTCGCAAGGCCGAGCAGGAGGCCAAGATGCGGGAGCTCATCCGCCAGAATGCAGACGCTGTTCGACAGATGGCTATGCTGGAGGAGAGCCTTCGGCAGATGACCCTGCGGGCGGAGGCCGCAGATCGGGGTAGGGCAGAAGCCGAGAGGTCCGCAGCTGAGGCCTTGGAGAGAGCTGTCAAGGAAGCCGAGGCCGCGAAGGTGGAAGCCGTCGAGAGAGCCCGAGGGGACGCAATCTCGGGGTTCTTGGCAGGGGGGTGGCGGTCCGAGGAGCACAAGCAATGGCTGTCCTCGGTCGTCGAGTCCTCGGTCGACGAGTGGTGTGACGGGCCTGGCGTGGAGTGGGTTTCCCGAAAGGGTAAACAATACTATGATGGGGGCGAGTTTTTTACTCAAGCCCTCATCTACCGGAGGATGGCTTGCCACTTGAAGATCGAGCCAAAGGACTTTGACCCGGCAGCATACGGGCTCCCCCCTGCAGCCAGACATCCGCGTTCCTCTTCCCCCCGATGTCGAGAGGCCAGACCTGGAGGACTCTGAGCTCATGAAGGAAGCCGAGGGCGACGAACCTGAGACCGACGCAGAAGTCACCTCGAAGCCATCGGGGGAGGCGGCCCCCGGGAATGACATTATTTGATATGTATTTTGTATTATGTAAACATGTATTTGTAATGGTGACATTATTCATCCTTCGGCTTCGGCCTGCTTGTAACATTTATTCGTATTACATTTGCCCTCTGTTTGTTGATGATTGAATGATTGCCTTCGGGCTGTGTTTATATGACTTGTTTTCTCCAATTCCTTTCTTCTTGAATGTATGCCTCCGTTTTCCTTGAGTGTATGTTTTAGGACTTAGAGTATTTTCTGATTGTAGCTTGCCCCTGGAAGCCTTCGGTAGTTGGGCACCCTCTGCTGGATATGCAACCGAGGGTTCAGCAGCAATTAGGACTTAGAAATTTTTCCTAAGTGTAGCACAGCATGAGGCCTTCGGGCGTCTGTAGTAACCCAAATCCTAGGACTTAGAAAAATTTCTAAGTGTAGATTTCCCCTTGAGAGCCTTCGGGGTATGGCATCTCTTCCTGATGTGTGATTGTTGGACCGAGGGCCCAATGTACAGGACTTAGAATTTTTTTGCAAGTGTAGTACGTCACGTAGCCTTCGGCTACTGTGGAGCCTCAACTGAAATATTGAGTAGGCCGGGGGCCAATTCTTTAGGACTTAGGAAATTTTCTTGAGTGTTGATTCCTTGTGTACTGTAGCCTTCGATTGATAGGCAGCCTTCGGTGATTAGGTCCCTTGAGATGAGGGTGAAATATGTAGGATTTAGAAAATCTTCTAAGTGTAGAGTTTCCCTTGGGAGCCTTCGGGAGATGGCATCCCTCCTTGACGTATGAGCAGTTGACCGGGGAAAAACATGTAGGACTTAGAAAATATTCTAAGTGTGGATTTTCCCTTGGGAGCCTTCGGGAGATGGCATCCCTTCTTGATGTATGGCCTTCGACTGTCATATTCCTCTAGCTGCAATACTGATTGAGCCGGGGGCCCATCTTTAGGACTTAGAATTTTTTTTGCAAGTGTTGTTGTATCGCATAGCCTTCGGCTATTGTATTCCCTTGGCTGTAATATTGATTGAGCCGGGGGCCCAATTTTAGGACTTAGAATTTTTTTTGCATGCATAAAGTGATGTCAAGCTTCCAGGTGTAGAGCCCTCCGGATATATGAACGGGACCCTTCGGGTGATCGTGGGCCCCTTGAGTTGTAAGAGCATTTGATCGAGGGCCAAATACGTGGAACTTTAGCAAAATTTCACAGTGTGTCGTAGATGTTGGGCCTTCGGTCAGTGAGGAGTCTGTTCGGGGGGCAAATATTTTGGAGTAGTCCCCCTCGGTTCATTTTTGATGATTTGTAATATATGCCTTCGGTTGTCTGGTGATATATTAGCCTCCGGTTGCCGTCATTTTCAAAAATGTGGACTTAGGAAAAGTGTGGAATCCTGTTGTTGTGAAGAAAGCCAATGATGAGTGTGTGCCCTCGGCATACACTCTGAAGAGTTGTAGAGTTTGACTCAGCCAGTTGTGTCCCTTGTAACGGGGTAGGGGCCCTCGGTATTAATGCATAACAGATGCCTTCGGTGTTTGTAGTACCGTTTAGGGGGCTTTGGATAGTCCCGTCCCTTGGTATTGTTGAAGCCTTCGGTGCTTGTGTGACCGGAGGTGACCAGGCAGTGGACTTAGCCGTTTCTTGATGATATTTGTTTGAGTAGTATCCTTCGGGAAATAGGAGCCTTCAACTACCGGAGGTGTTCACGTGGGGAGCCCTCGGCATGTTGTGATCTGTTGGAGTGTACTCTTTGATTTCTCGCTGAGTCTACTCCCCTTCACCCCCTCTTTTTTTTGGTTGGTGGTGAAGGGAAGGCATCAAGAAACTTGGTTTCTTGGTAAGGCTGGGCCTATTAGGAGACCATCAGAATACACCAATGGCTCTCCTCCCTCGGGTTAACCTTCCGAGTTCCGAGGGGATCGAGGGACGTTTCCTGGGCACAAGATATGGTGGTCCGTAACCTGCCTCCCCTTGGGGGATGGCGCGGAAAGCGCCTCATTTTTGAAAGTCGTCCCCTCGGCGCTAGACATAGTCCGTGGCCTGCCACACCCTTAGGGTGGTGGCGCGGGGAGCGTTTCGGTTTGGAAGTCGAATCCTGGGCATTTCTCATGCCTGTCATACCCTGGGGGTAGTGACGCGGATAGCGTTCCATTTTTGAAAGTCGAATCCTGGACATTTCTCATGCCTGTCATACCCTGGGGGTAGTGACGCGGAAAGCGTTTCAAGGAAGGGTTTTCATTTGGACACTAGTTGCAAATGGCCGGGGGCACTACGTGCCGCCGGCACCGATGGTGGCGCCTTCGGTATATGTGTCCTCGTGGGGTACGGCTTTTAGAAACAACACTTGGTGTTAGTTTCGATGTGTAGCCCCCGGTACTTGGTACCGAGGGGTCTTCTGTAGGAACACTTGGTGTTCTCTTTTGTTGTAGTTGATGTAGGCGTCTACCCTCGGTACTTGGTACCGAAGGGTCTCCAAATGAAACACTTGGTGTTTCCCAACAGATGTTGGAAGTTGATAGGAGAGCATATCCCTGGCACTGGGTGCCGAGGGGTCTTCTTTGAAACATTTGGTGTTTTTTTTCTTCGTTTCGATGTTTGATGATGGAGGTGTACCCTCGGTACTGGGTGCCGAAGGGTCTTCTATAGGAACACTTGGTGTTCTCATCTTTTTCTTTTTTGATGTTGAAGGGGGGGTGTACCCTCGGCACTGGGTGCCGAAGGGAAATGAATTACATGGCGTTCTTTGTTGTTGGTGACAGGAGTTCCCTCCCTCGGTACTTGGTACCGAGGGGTCTTGAGAGAAAACATGTGGTGTTTTCACTGTTGTTGCAGGTGTCGATGGTGTCCGCCCTCGGCACTTGGTGCCGGAGGGGGTTCCTCTCGTGGTGAGGCCGGGGGCCTGTAGTCATTATGAGGGCTTGATGTCTTGAATGTATCTTCATTCTTCGAAATTGGAGGCCTTGGGCCATAGGATAGTACATTCACTAGTTATGAGGGCTTGGCCGCTCTTACATTATTGATAAAACTTAACTAAATGGTGTACATTCCAATGCCTAGGGACTTCTTTCCCGTTGGGGCGTTTGAGCTTGTAGGTCCCAGGTTTGATGATGGCTGCTATGATGTAGGGGCCTTCGAATTTTGGTGCCATTTTTCCTCCCTCGGTTGGTTGGCTGACTTCCCTCCTCCGGAGGACATAGTCCCCCACTTGAAATTCTCGGGTGCGAACTTTGGCGTCGATGTAGCTTTTAACTTGCCTTCGGTAGTTTTCTGCCCGGATGAAGGCCTGCTCCCGGCGTTCTAAAATGAGGTGGAGGTCGAGGGCCATGTTGGTGTCGTTGACCTCGGGGTCATATTGGATCACCCTTCGGGTGGGAAGGGTGACTTCCGTAGGAGCTTTGGCTTCAAAACCGTAGCAGAGGGAGAAGGGTGTTTCACCTGTTGCTCGCCGAGGGGTGGTGCGATAGGCCCAAAGGATGTTGTGGAGTTCTTCCACCCAGCCACCACCCTCGGCCTCCAGCTTCTTTTTGAGGCCCTCGAGCAAGGTCCGGTTGGTGTTCTCTACTTGCCCGTTGCCTTGAGGGTAGGCAACGGAGGAGAAGGTGTGTTTGATGCCCCATGCCTCCAGAAGGGCACATAAGGGGGCTGCCTCAAATTGTGTCCCATTGTCGGAGATGATCTGCTGGGGGACGCCAAACCTTGTGAGGATGTTCTTGAGGACGAAGTGACGGCACTTCGCCTCTGTGATGCTGGCGAGGGGTTCAGCCTCCACCCACTTGGTAAAATAGTCGACGGGCACAATGATGTATCTGTTGTTGGAGGTACCCCTCGGCAGAGGGCCCACAAGGTCTATCCCCCATCGAGAAAATGGGACAGAGGTGCTGATGGGGGCATAGTTGACCGCTGGCCTGCCGGGAGCTTTCTGGAAATGTTGACATGCGGTGCACCTCCGGGCAAGGTCAGCACAATCCCTGGCCATGGTTGGCCAGAAGTAGCCCTGGAGAATGAGCCTTCGGGACATGGAGAAGGGTCCCTGGTGAGCTGAGCAAGTGCCACTGTGCACTTCCTCCATTGCGACCTCGGCTTCATCTGGATGAAGGCACCGAAGTAGCGTGCCATTGTAAGATCGTTTGTAGAGCCTTCCATCTTCGATGGTGTAGCTGGGAGCCCTCAGCTTTTCCAGTTTAGCGCGGGCCTCATTCTCGGGTAGCTGCCCTGTGGAGATGAAGGCGGTGATATCTGAGATCCAATCCTCCTCACGTTGTTGTATGTTCATAACGGGGCTTGCATGGATGCTTGAGAGGCTGAGTTCCTCGATTTTGGCAATTTTGGAGATGTGCTCGGGGGAGTCGGCCGAGAGCTTAGATAATATGTCGGCCTCGGAGTTCTGAGCTCTCGGTATTTGAGTAAGAGAGTGTGCCTCAAATACCTTAAGCAACTCCTTGGCCGCTTCCTTGTACTGTTTCATTCTCCCCTCCTTGGCCTCATATTCTTCGGAGATTTGGCCAACGACCAACTTGGAGTCGCATTTGATGTGGATCTGCCGAGCCCTCATGTTGGCAGCCAGCCGAAGGCCACATAGGAGGGCCTCATATTCGGCCTCATTGTTGGAGACTTTGAAGGAGAAGCGGATTGCATAGTAGGCCCTGAAGCCCTCGGGAGTAATG